GGGCTTAAAGTCCCCTAGCATGGGAGGACTTGTGCTACAAAAGTTTAGAGTCCCCTAGCACGTACGGACTTTCCAAGAATGTCATCCAAAACAAGGCTAATACTTTATATACAAAATAGGGATCATCATTCATGCTTAACAATACTTTTCAAAACAAGCAAAGCGAAGCTTTAACAAAACGTTATAACATAGCTTTATTAGAAATACCACTCACATAGTTCTTGGGACGTCGGGATCAAGTGCTAACTCCAACTCCAACAAACACATGGCAAAGCACACTGAATGTACTTCTCAAAACAAGTCTTACATGAAATGATCTCGGGAAAACATGCTGGGAGTTAAAACATTATTTTACATGTCAAGAAAACATGCTAGCAGATGAGTAAGACGTTTGAGATGCTTGGCATCGAGGATGGAGCACTGAAAGTGACACTGGCATCCTTCCAGCTGAAGGGAGATGCGGGTCAATGGTGGAAGTACGAGAAGGCTCATGTGGGCGGTACTTGGGAGGCGTTTTTGAATGCTTTTCAGGAGAGGTTTTTGTCTGCAGCAGCTAGGGAGAAGCTGAGGGATCAGTTTAGCCGGCTTAAACAGCAGGCTTGTCAGTGGCCGAGTTTGAGGCTACTTTTACCAGTCTGTCCAGGTTTGCACCGGAACTGGTGGCGTCTGAGGAACGCCGTTGCTATGAGTTTGAGCGGAAGTTGAGGCGGGGCCTCAAGTTGAGAGTTGGTGGGTCTTACATCCGAGAGTATAGACACCTAGTTGATGCTGCTGCTCATATGGAGATTATGATGCAGGAGGAGGAGGAAGAACAGAGGGGCTCCAAGAGGAGCCAGGATAGTCAGAGTGATGGCAGGAGACAGAAGGGTTATAACCCTCAGCAGTCTCAGGGTGCAGTCTCTAGATCGACCTTTCCAGTGCCGAATGTAGGCTCGGGAAGGGGCAGTCAGGGGGAATTCACTTGTTACAAGTGTGGCCAGCTGGGTCACAAAGTTTCAGTTTGCCCGCAGAAGGGTGGGGGTCAGAAAGCTGCTTCTTCTTCGGCTAGACAGCAGAGTCAGAGTTTGGGCAGGGGGCAGCCCTTGACTTGTTATCAGTGTGGACAGCCTGGGCACCTGAAGAGGTTTTGCCCACAGTTGAGTGCCACTTCGGGAGCGTCTGGTTCTAGGCAGACGCAGGGTTTTCAGCCAGCTCAGTCTGTGCAGGCCTCGAGGGCCAATCCAGGAGCTTCGTCATCCCAGTCTGTGCAGCAGTCTTTTGCTCCGAGAGGTGAGCAGGTAGACCAGGTGCCTACAGGGCGCGTGTATGCTGTTACCGCGCAGGATTTAGTACCAGCTCCATCGGTTATGAGAGGTACTTTTCTGTTTTGCAACTCAGTTGCTAATGTATTGATAGACACGGGTGCATCTCATTCCTTTGTATCTGCTGCATTTGCATCGGTTTTGGAATTGGAGTTAGCACAGTGATTACAAAGATTTCTAGAACAAAAGAAAATATACAGAGATTTCTTTATCCTGGTAAGTAACAGTTGAACAAAGAGAAATACAATTTTGTAGAGGACATGAAGATATCAAAGGAACACTTTGCAAGAGTGGATCTAAAGGTGGTTTTCTTTTTTTTTTGACAAGCAAGGTTGAATATAGAGAATCACAATATAATTGGACAAAGAGAACTTGTGTTGTAAAACAGAAATTGCAAAGAAGAAAGTGAGCTTAGTAAAATGAAAGCAGAATGCAGAGAATACTGATTTGGTAATTTTTCAACGCAGAGTTAATAAAATAGAGTTGCAGAGGAGAAGATTGCAAAGTTTACTGAAATCAAAAGAGAATACAGGGATTTTTTTTTTGTTTTTTTCTGGTAAGCAACAGTGGAACACAGAGATTTACAATAAAACTGAAGACAGAAAGTAAGTTGAGATTTAAACAGAGAGAAATAATAGAATTGAAGTGGAAGTGGAAGTGAAGAAAGAAAAACCTTGGAAACTTTCCAGAGTGTCTAAGAGATGAAACATGCACAGCCTTAACAACTCAGTCGACGGTGAAGAGAAAAGCTTTTCACCAAAGACAAACAAGACCATTAACATCCATCAAAGAGAAACAATCAGAT